TCGACGTGCTGGTGGGGGCGGTGGTGGTTAGGGGTGGGGGAGAGGGGAGGGGAGGAAGAAGAGCTGAAGAAGAACGGACGCTGCTGATGCTGCTGCGGCTAGGAGACTTTGCTTCTGCTGCTGCTGCACAGCTAGATGTACTGCTGCTGCTGTTGTTGTTGCTGCTGCTGCTGCTGCTGGTATTGCTGGTGTCATTTGGGGTAGAAGAAGATGCAGCACCAGCAGCAGCAGCAGCAGCAGCATTACCTAACAATGGTGATGATATTGATGGTGTAACACCATCCGTACTCCCTGATACTCTACTACTACTACTACTGCTGCTGCTGCTGCTGCTGCTGTTGCTGCTGCTGCTGCTGCTAGTATGATCAGGAGAGTTACCACTACTACAATTTCTACTACTATTCACCACACTACCACCAACTGCAGCAACAGGAGCAGTTGCTGCAGTTGGTGCAGTTGCAGCAGTTGGTGCATTTGCTGCTGCATCAGCACCCTGCTGTTGGCCACTCGTCTCTCCTCCGTGTTGCTGTTGCACAGCAACTTGCTGTTGCAGTGTTTGCTGCAGTGTTTGTTGCTGCAGTGGTTGTTGCTGCTGTTGCTGTTGCTGATTATTGCCTTTTGTATGTAGATCCCAATCTTGATGATAAGTATTATGCATAAGTATCTCTGTAACACCATAATATTTGGGTACAAATTGTTTTAATATATGTAGGGGCCCCGCCTCTGCATTGGGGGCCCCCAATGAGGATATTTTATCATAAAAAAGGAATTCATTCTCATTAAGAGGTTTAAATACTTTTGATGAATCTTTTGCCTTTAATAGACGACAATGACCACCAACTTGATGACGATACGCCTCTACATGCATTTCTACTAATCTTCTTGCTGTTGTTACTGTTCCTGCTGCTGTTGCTCCTGTTCCTGCTGTTGCTGTTGATGGTGATGCTGCTGCTGCTGCTGCTGCTGCTGCTAATGGTTATTTTCCTGATTCTGGGGATGGTATAAATGTTTCTATTGATTCTGCTGCTGTTGCTGCTGTTGCTGCTGCTGCTGCTGCTGCTGTTGCTGCTGCTGCTGCAGCAAGAGATGATGAACTGTTGATTAGTAATTCCTCCTCCCGGCTCTGTCTCCTCCATAAGCAGCATTCCTCTTATCCTTTTCTTTTATATTTATTATATAGTCTTGCTGTACATAGGAAGACTATATTCTGCTGCTGCTGCTGCTTCTGATGGTTTCTCTATATTATATATATAAATCTTCCTTTCTTATGCATGCAGATCATACATACATACAATAACGTGCTTTGTTGGCCTGTACAGCAGCAACAGCAGCAGATGCAGCAGCAGCAAAAGCAGCAGCAGATGCAGATAAAGAGATCCTGCTGCTGCTGTTCTCCTCCTTGAGACAGAAGGGGACAACAGATGAAAATACTACACTACTGCTGCTTTTGCCGTTGCTGTTGCTTCCGTTATCGTTGCTTCGGTCCTTGCTGCAGTTCCTGTTCCTGCTGCTGTTGCTGTTGCTGCTGTTCTTGCGACGGATCTACTGCCGCTGCAGTACACCACAGCAGCACTAACACCAGCTGTTTTGCTGCAAGGAGTTGTTGTGCTGTTGCAGTGCAGCAGCAATTGATTTACTGGTTATAAAAGAATTATGTTTGCCGGCAAATCGTCTGTACACCCGGTTAACCAGGGAAAAGCTGTAGAAATAAGGGAAAGAAGAAGAAGATTTATATAAAATAAACGAGAAATTAAAGAAAAACGAGAGGAAAGAAACCCTTATATGGTATAAAATGTTATAAGAACAAGAAATGATGATCCCCCCCCACCCCTGACATGAATATGTAGAAAGAGGAAGTGAATTGAATGATTTAAAGAAATAAGAAGAAATTCAATATAAGGTGTACGTACACCTCAATCATGTAAGGAGTAAAGAAAGTTAAACAAGGGGAGGGTGTTCATATACAAATATACACATTCATATACATACATATATGAATACGTACGTATACAAGGGCAGCAGCAGCAGCAGCAACAGTAGCCGCAGGCAGCAACAAGAAGGGAGAGCGGCAGCCTAGGGATATAGTAGAGGCAGCCCTTTGCCTTAATGATTTAAAGGAAGAAAGATACAATCGAAACCCTAAAAAGTATTACATAAAAAGACCTTCCTTAATGAGGAACAGAGGAACTTGCAGTGTCGCGTATCTGGGGTGTACCGGCAGCTGCTGATGACAACAGAAAGCGGCTGCAGATGGCGGCGCCATAAGGAAATCAGTATATACGTCATAAATAAAATTATTATTATTTTACTTCTTCTTTGAATATTACTAAATTAAACACTGTTTACCTTTCTTTTCATGAACAACTTGATCCGATTACCTCATTTTAATGCAGCTTTCCCTCTCGTAACCCTCCACAGTCGGCGGCTCCCGCCTTTCTTGTACACAGTATTCAAGAGGGAAGCTGCTTCTTTTTTTTTAGTTTAATGCATTAATGAGGTCAAAATGGGGGACTTAATGAAGACGAATGCCCAGTTAAGCCCCATTGAGAGCTTAAGGGCCGCCATACTCATAGAGGAAGCCCTCAAACAGCTTGCCTTCGTAGGCAAACTATCTAAGGAACAACGAGGAAACAAAGACAGTAAATTCGCTGCACATAGAGGAGATGAAATCATCCGCATCATAGACGAACAGCAAGAACTGCAGCAGCAGTAAGCAGCAGCAATTCTTCATAGATAAACAGCAACTCATACAGAGACAAATAGACCATACAATAACACATTCCTTCCTGCTGTTCCTGAACCTGCTGCTTCTGCTGCTCCTGCCTCTTCTCCTGCTGCTGTTGTGTGCTCTTATCTGCTGCGTTTCATGCGTATGCCCGGTAGCATGCATGCATGCATGCAACCGTGCATGCAACCGTGCATGCATGCATGCATGCATGCACACATGGCAGTTCAGGGGATTTGTTTTAGGTGTTGCAGGTTTAGTCATTCTTCTGTTGAGTGCTGCAAGTAAACAACGTGGGAAGCTAGCTAGCTGCTTGTACACCGCAAGACTAGCTGTCTTTAGCCCCCAGGTAGCTATAGGAGCTGTTTAGCTAGCTATAGGAGCTGCTTAGCTATCTAAGGAGGGTTTTCTTAGGTGTCACGGCTGCCGTCTGGCTGCTGTTTGCTGCTCTTTGCTGCTAGTTGCTTCTGTTTGCTTTTCTGCACAACAGCAGCAAATGCAGCAGAGACTAGGGCAGGTGTGTATACACCTCACTCCTCGCAGTTATCCAGGCTGAGGTGTATATAAAACAGGCAAAACCCTAAAAGGGTTTATAAGGGTTTATGTTAGTAGCTGCTGCTAGCAGCAGCAAACCCTAGAACAGGGAAAACAGGAGAGACGCAGATAATAGGGAAAGCTAATTAGGGTTTATTAGGGTTTATTAGGGTTTAGGGTTTTGGGGAGTGTTTGTTTTGGCAGATAAAATATCTGCTTGACCCACCCAGCCGTAAACCCTCTCCTCTCTCCCTCCTAAACCCTAAACCCTAATATGGTCTATAGATAAGAGTAAGAAACCCCTTTATAAATATTAATTGTAAAAAAGAATTGGGGTGTACAGGCAGTTATTATTAGTAGGAGAGACGGAGAAATTAAAAGGATTAAGTAATAAACAAGAATTAAAAGCAGCAGAAGAAAAGCTTTTGCAACTTTCTTATCGTCTTAAGGAAACAAACAAAGAATTATGCAAAAATCTTAGGCAAAACCCTAACCTACAGGTACATATATATACTATGTATCATATAAATATTATATATTTTATTATATATATATATATATATAAGGAAAAGAAAAGACAATTAAATAACTCAATAAGAACCTCAATAACAAATATAGACCCTTCTCGTGTATCCCCTCTCTGTCTGTATCCTTCTGCCCTCGATTAGGGTTTAGGGTTTAGAGTTTAGGGTTTTTTTGTATACTTCAGGCGAATTTACTGAAATTACAAAGAGAGCGTCAACGATTAGAGGAGAGTTTAGCACAGACAGCAACAGAATTAAGACAAAAAGGAACTTTTAAATCTTTAATACAAAATATTGCACAAGAAAAACAAGCACAAGAAAGACTTAATGAAGTAAACCCTAATTGCTGGTGTTGCTGCTGCTGCTGCTGCTGCTGATCATTTTAAATCTTTAATACAATATATTGCACAAGAAAAACAAGCGCAAGGAAGACAATGAAGTAAACCCTAAACCCTAATTGCTGCTGTTGCTGTTGCTATTCGTGTTTACTACAAAATACCTTCCTAGAGAAACAAACAAAAGAAGGACTTATTACTTCTTAAAGAGGGGATAAAATGCGTGCATTAACTCCTGCTACTGTTGCTGCTGCTATGCTGCAGCAGCTGTTGCTATTCCTGGTTGTTGTTGCTGCCGTTGATGTTGCTGCTGCTGCTGTTGCTCGTTCGTAATCCTGCTGCTACTCGATTTGAGGGCATGCAAGTGTTCGCCCATCCGCTGCTACTGTTACTGCTGCTGCAGCACACAACAATCCCCTTTCCTTAAGCAGCATTTTGACTATCTTCCTCACCTCCTATCCTTGTTGTTGCTGCCATTTGCTGCTCCTTGCTCCTGTTCCTTGCTGGTACTCCCTACTATCTGCTGCTGCTGCTGCTGCTGCTGCAGGCGCGTCGTCGCAACAGAGAAGTGCTGCAGGCAGTAGAGTTATTAGAATCGGAGCTGAGGAAGGAAGCAGCAGAGTTTGCCGCGCTGCAGCGTCAATCAGGAGCAGAAGCAGCAGCACTAAAGGATAAGATGCAAGGGTTTATGCGGCAAGCAGCAACAAAATTAGGGTTTAGGGAAAGTGCATTAAGAGAGCAACTTGAAGGCAGCAAATGGCAACAGCAGCAGCAAGAGCAGCAGCAACAAAGGGAAATTGATAAAAAAAAACAAAATATAGAGGCTGATGCTTTTGTTAGAGATAAAACATTCGAATTCCTTAATACAAGCATCAAACAGGCATAAACCCTAAACCCTAAACCCTAAACACTACATTCTTCAATACAACCATCAAACATGCATAAACCCTAAGCTCTAAACACTAAACACTAACGTCTTTATAATAATGATCAAACAGGCATAAACCCTAAACCCTGAATTCCTCAGTACAGCATCAAACCGGCATAAACTCTAAACCCTAAACCCTAAACCGTACGCAGTCAACTGTGTGAAGAATAATAAGGAGCTGGATCATTCATCTTATTTATCTTCCTATTGTCTCTTCTTTCTTGTCTTTCTTGCTTTTTTCTTCTTTTTCTTCTTTTGTTCCTTTTTTCCTTCTTCGCCCCTTTTCATCCTCTTCCTTTGTTGGTGTCTCTGCCTTTCCCTCCGCTGCTCTCTTCTGCTGCGGCGGCTGCATCTGTTATTGTAGCTGCTGCGTTGCTGTTGCTGCTGCTCCTGCTGCTGCTGCTGACATTTCTTCTGTTGCTGCCTCTACTGCCGCTGCTGCTGTTGTGTTGTTGCTTGCTGCTGTTGCTGCTGCTGTTGCTGTTTTTGCTGCAGCTGCAACAAGCTACTAAGCAGCAGCAGTCAATTCATCGTCAACAAATGGAGAAGAAAGAAGAAGAAATAAAGGAATTATTTAATAAACAAAAGAAGCTTAGTAGTGCTATCTTTGCTCTTTCTTCTAGAGTTGTATGTTTATTCCTTATTTATTTATTTGTTTATTTAGTTGTTTATTAATATTTATTTAATATTTATATTTATTTAATATATAAACATAAATAATTATATGTATACTATGTTTTATATATTATATATATACACTATATGTGCTATATATGAATCTCCAGGGTTTAGGGTTTAGGGTTTGTATGTGTGTACATTAGGAGGCGGAAGAGAGAGCTTGTCGGGAGACTGCTGCAGCAGAACAGCGGCAAATGCTGCTGCAGCAAAGGAAGCAGCAGCAGCAGCAGCAGCAAGCTGCTGCTGAGTTGCTGCTGCAGCATGCAGCAAAAGCTTTCCTTGAGAGAGTAAAAGAATCAGAAAAGAAACAAACAAAGAAAAAGAAGAAATAAATAAAATAGTTGAATAATATAAAGGAAATATATAAACAAAATAAAATAAATAAATAAATAAATAATACAGACAAAGACAATATTAACAATACATAAATTATAAACAAAGGCAAGCAAACAACAAATAAACAAACAGCATTTATTATTTCTTGTCCTTTCTTCTTTTCTTTCTTCCTCCTTCTTTTCTTCGTTTTTTCTTTTTCTCTTTTTTTCTTTCGTTTTTCTTCTTTTAATTAATTTCTTTCTTTTAACTTTTTTTCTCGCCATACAGATTAAATAATTCAATTATCCGTCCTTTTATATATGTGCACCTCGGCTTGCTTGGTGCTGCACCTACGTACCAAAGGGTTTAGGATTTAGGGTTTAAGGTTTAGGGGTTAGGGTTTAGGGTTAGTATGAATGGCGTGTTGACTAGATCGGACGGCCAAGTGCATGGTGTGGATGACGAGGAGTGTAGCGTTTAGGGTTTTGGGATTAGGGTTTAGGGTTACGGGTTCCGTTACGGTGTTCCCCAATTACTCGTCAGTGACGTACCATAGGACTTTCATTCTTTTGGGTTTAGGGTTTAGGGATTAGGGTTAAAACAGTCGTCATCATCACTGTCTAACGTTGCAAAAAGTTTCGCCATACTCCAAAGTATGAATGGGATTTAGGGTGTAGGGTTCAGGGTTTAGTCGCAAAAATATAGAATAAAATTTTTGAAGATATGAGATGCAGTAAGCGCAGCAATGCGCGTACTGCAGCAACAGCAGCTGCAACAGGAGCAGCAACAGCAACACGACAGCTGCTGGAAGGAGAAGAATTCAAGGCGAAACAGCAGTAGCAGCTGCAGAAGCAGCAGAAGCAGCAACAACTGCAATAGCATTGGCTCTTTTGGCCATCTATTGCTGCAGGATTGGTAGCTGCAGCAGCTGCAGGAGCTGCTAGCACGACAGAAGGAGCAGCAAAAACAGCACCAGAAGCAGCAGGGAATGTGAACTTGGGTATATTATATTATTGTAGGGAGAAGGGGAGGGAGAGGGAAGTTGGGGTGTACATATAGGGTAACACTAGACTAGGCAGAAGAAGGGGTGGGGGGGATGTGGGGAGAGGAGGGAAGAAGAGGCCAAAGAGGAGAAAAAAGAGGGAATTTGTGTTCTAAAATTCTGTATATTTACAGAATAAGTAAAATTAAATGAATTGAGTACTTATTTAATTCATATGTTGAAGTAAACGGCAAAACGATGCTGTTTAGTGTATACATAGACGGCAGACGACCAGTGGAAAGGAAGACAAATGACCATAGACACTGTCTGTGGTCCTTTTTTAATGAAACTTTGAACAAAAAACATTAAATACACCTAATAATTATACGTAACGAAGAATATTCAATAAATTGTGCAAAAATGACGAACCGGAGGGAGAGGTTTCTTGCCCACAAAGAAGAAGACCTCGTGTGCCACGGTCAAAGACGGGAGCACAATAAATAAAGGAAATAACGCTCATTTCTCGACGTCTAAGGCTGATTAATGCTTTAAAATGAAGCAAACCTAAACCTACTCCCATTTATGTAATTTATTTTACAAATTAACCGGCGGTTGATGTATACATACTTGCTTGCAAAAGGAGAACGCTCCCTTGCCGTCTCATCATGGATGGCTGGCAACTGGATTCAAGATCCGCAGAAGGTCATTCAATGACGTCATTCATTCATTCATTTGTTTTATTCCTTTCTTTTTATAATCCATCAATTAGTCTTCATTCTTTTCTTTTCTTTTTATTCGTGCATTCATCGCCCTGATTGACGGCATGGTTCTTGAATGGTCACGTCCTTCTCCTTTCTCTCTGTCGTCCCTGTCTCGTGCCGGTATCATCGAGTCCTCCACGGTCGAACAAGAAAGGAGAGAACAAGAGTGAATCTTCTTTCCTTATGAACAAGAATACAATTACATTTATTCTTTAATCAATATTAAGTGACAAGAAAAGGATTTCCCCGCCAAGGAGAATCAATCGATCAACCAATGGGGCGTTGAGCGGTCTGATCACTGTCTCTCTTGTCAGTGAACACTCAACCCTAAACCCTAAACCCTAAACCCTAAACCCTACACGTATAGCATTGTTCCATCTCTTTTCTCCTATCCTTTCTTCCTTTTAGGTGTATCGGCAAAATAAGACAAATTTCGAACGCCAAAACCGAAAACCTAATCCCTCCCTAAATCCTAAACACTAATCCTTAAACCCTTAACCCTAATCCCTAAACACTAACCCATACACGTCTATCATTACCGTATCTCTTTGTTTTCTTCCTTTCACCTTTTCAGGTGTCTCAGGAAAATCACGCAAAGATCGACCCCAAAACACAAACCCTAAACCCTGAATACTGAACCCCTAAACCATGAATCGTTACCTTTAATCCCTATACCCTCAACAATACCAATATAGCATCGTTGCATCTATTTTTTTGTTTGCTTTTCGTGCTACGGTATTTTGTGAACAAACACAGTGCAGATCTCAAGCCCTTCACCCTAGTCCCTTACCCCTAATCCCTATACCCTCAACCCTACACGTATAGCATTGTTGCATGTCTTTGTCTGTTTGC